ATGACAGTGACAGTAGATGTCTGGTTGTGTATCTAGCTATGACAGTGACAGTAGAAGTCTGGTTGTGTATCTAGCTATGACAGTGACAGTAGATGTCTGGTTGTGTATCTAGCTATGACAGTGACAGTAGATGTCTGGTTGTGTATCTAGCTATGACAGTGCCAGTCACAAGTCTGGTTGTGTATCTAGCTATGACAGTGCCAGTCACAAGTCTGGTTGTGTATCTAGCTATGACAGTTTCGTCGTGGACAGTGCCAGTCCGAAGCGCGACTTACCGTCCTCATGAGGGCGTCCAGGGCATGCTGGGAGTCACGGCCCTCCTCAAGGTCTTTGGCGTTGCTGGAGGCGCGGCCCCTCAGCCCCGAGGGTTTGCTGGCCGTCAGACCCGCGATGGCCTCGTGTTCCAGGATTGCCGGCACTGGGGGGACACACACACACATGGGGGGTGATACACACTGATAGACGCACACACACACATGAGGGGGTGATACACACTGATAGACGCACACACACACACACACACATGGGGGGTGATGCACACTGATAGACGCACATACACACATGGGGGTGTGATACACACTGATAGACACACACACACACACATGGGGGGTGATACACACTGATAGACACACACACACACATGGGGGGGTGATGCACACTGATAGACGCACACACACACATGGGGGGGTTGATACACACTGATAGACGCACACACATGCACACACACACATGGGGGGTGATACACACTGATAGACGCACACACATGCACACACACACATGGGGGGTGATACACACTGATAGACGCACACACATGCACACACACGCATGGGGGGTGATACACACTGATAGACGCACACACACACATGAGGGGGTGATACACACTGATAGACACACACACACACACATGAGGGGGTGATACACACTGATAGACGCACACACACATACACACACACACATGGGGGGTGATACACACTGATAGACGCACACACACACATGAGGGAGTGATACACACTGACAGACGCACACACACATACACACACACATGGGGGGTGATACACACTGATAGACGAACACACACATACATACACACACACATGAGGGGGTGATACACACTGATAGACACACACACACACACATGAGGGGGTGATACACACTGATAGACGCACACACACATACACACACACACATGGGGGGTGATACACACTGATAGACGCACACACACACATGAGGGAGTGATACACACTGACAGACGCACACACACATACACACACACATGGGGGGTGATACACACTGATAGACGAACACACACATACATACACACACACATGAGGGGGTGATACACACTGATAGACACACACACACACACACACACACACACACACACACACACACATACACACACACACACATGAGGGGGTGATACACACTCATAGACGCACACATACACACACACACATGGGGGGTGATACACACTCATAGACGCACGCACACATACACACACACACATACATATTGGGGTGATATAAACTCATAGACACACACACATACACACACACACACACACGAGGGTGATACACACTCATAGAAATACACACATACACACATGGGTGATACACTTTCACAGACTGTGTGTGTGTGTGTGTGCGTGTGTGCGTGTGTGTGTGTGTG